GGTGGCCAGCAGATGGGAAGCATCCGGGCCTCTCTTATCCCTCCAGCCACCGGACTTCGGCTATAAGCATGCCGTTCTGGGGAAACCTGGAGAATTCTCGGTGGCTGGGAACTGGGATCCTCTTGACCTAAGGAATTGTTTTTTATTTTGAATTTACTAGTGAATTATGGTCAACAGTGGGGCTCATTTTGACATATTCATAAGTGACCCAAACATAATTGATTCCATTTTAATCCCTAGCACTTCCTCTCTCCATGCCCTGGTCCCCTTCCTCTACTCCACTGGTCATCCTTCTATTTATTTATTATTTTTGGTGCAATTAGGGTTAATTGGAATGCACTGTGATGTATTCACACATGCACCCCTACAGAACTTGGTCAGCTTCACTCCCCGTTCTTTCCCTGCCCATGCCTCTCTGGGTCCCCTGCTTCTATTCTATTCATCTCCCTTCTGTTTTTGCAAGATCCTCTTTTATAATGAAAGGAACAGGTTTTAATCTGGGTGCGTGGTGGACTTTTCCAGGCTCGTATCCACTGCTGCTTGCTTGCTGTTAACAGACCAGCAACAAAGGACTACCTGTCGTGGTTTCTTTGTGAGCTCCTCATGGCCACCTGCTTTAAGCTGCCTTGAATGCTCTTTTATTTTCCTCCCAACCAGAACACCCCAGCACACCCCCATCTCTTGACTCACTGCAGATGATCACATTATTTGTGACTTCAGTCACTAGTATTGACCACCTGCTAGGTGCTAGTATCAGAGATGCATTTGGCTTGAAGAACCCAAAGCCTAACCTCAGTGGCTTGAGCAAAGAGAGGTCCATTTGTTTCTCATGTGATAATAAGTCTGGAAGTAGACAGCTGATGGCATCGGATCATGGTCTCAATAATGACCTGCAGTTAGTTCTCTTGCTTCTTCCTCCTGGTCACAAGATCACTCCTGCTGCTATAGCCACTGTGACCTCAATCAAGGCAAGCCACAGATCGAGGTGTTTCAGCCAGCTTTTCTGCTGCTGTGACCAAAATACTTGACAAGAACAACTTTAGAGGAGCAAAAGTTTATCTGGGGGCTCACAGTTTCAGAGGTCTCAGTCCATAGATGGCTGACTCCATAGCTTGGGGCCTAAGGTGAGGCAGAACATCATGGCAGAAAAGCAGCTCAGGACATGGCACCAGGAAGCAGAGAGTGTTCCTCTCACCATCGACAAAACAGAAACCCAAAGGGCATGTCCCCAATGATCCAACTCTTCCAGCCACACCCTCCCTGCTTACAGCTACCACCTAGTTAATCTCTATCAGGGGATTAATGCACTGATTAAGACTCTTGTGACCTAATCATTTCACCTCTAAACTTTCTTGCATTGGCTCACACATGAGCTTTTGGGGGGACACCTGATATCAAGACCATAACAAGGAGTTGTACTAGACGGTTGTCCCTCTTAATCCGAACATAAGTGCTTTTGAGAACCACCTGTAGATTCTTCTTATTGGCTAGAACTAGGTCACATGGCCTCTCCAGCCACAAGCGGGGGCTAGACAGGCATGTGTTTAGCCTCACAGCCTCTTCAGCAGGAAGCAGCAAGAAAGGGAAGCTGGGAATTGGGTTAGCTGGTCTACAGTGGCCACCATAGAGCTCAGGATGTGACTGTGCTCAGAGCGCAGAGGCTGCTGAGACGGCTTGGGTCAGCTTGTCTCTGACTTCCCTTTAGTGAATCACATGCCACAATCTAGAAGGCACCTGCCCACGTGCTTCCTATCCACCTGAGAGCAAGCCCCGTGCGGGCAGGAGGCTCTTTCCTTTGTCTCTGGATCTCAGCTCTGAGCACAGAGCATGGCAGAGTAGGGCTCAGTGGAGTCAGAAACAGCACTAGCTGGCTGCACAGGGGACCCAGGTCCTGGTACCTTCAATCACTAGGTAATGACCCTGAATACTTCCCAGTGTACAGAAAGGTTGTCCTGCATGTATTCGAAGCTACAGTGTGAAGTTGAACAGCTCTGAGCCAGGGGTAGTGCTGCCTCCCCACGCTCCGTCTGAGGTTGAGGAACACCAGCTCCTGCATGCAAAGACAGGGGTCTACAAGCTTCCACTGGCTTCTTCCTGCAAGGTGGAGTGGTTTAATGCTATATTATTTGCAAGGTGCACTGAGTTATTCACAAGGACAGCCTCGTGGAAACGGGTACTTAAGGAGATAGCTGTTTCTCACAACTACTTTGAAGCCTCTCAAAATTCTAATTCATTTTGACAAAATATAAAATTTGGAGCCATTAAAACATGTAACTGCAGCATCTCAGGTAGCCTGGGGTTTTGATTCATTTTCCAAAGTTTCCAGAAATTGCAACTTAGAACATTTATTTAAATGGCAGCATCAATGGCAATGGGTGTGTTGTTGAGAAGAATGGATGAGCCTCTTTGCTTGTTTGCCCTGCTGGGCCACACTGGGCCACACTGCTTTTAACAGTGACTGTGCCCCATCCAAGCCATGTCTTGGGCTGGAGGACGAGGCTCAGGGACAAGGCCAGGGCACCTGAAGCATATGCATCCTCCAACTTAGCACCCTCCCTGTGAGCCCCAGAGAAAGGCCCCAATGGGGTGGGATGGACTCCCTCGGGGTCCACCGGAGACAAACCAGGCTCTGATTTGAGAGCAGATCCACCAGGCACAGGTTTCAAAGGAGCCTCACCTGCTTTGCTGTCTCCTACTGTCTCGGGAGAAGAGTAAGTGGGGCAGACATTTTGCTCTTAGGAAAGGCTGCTCGTCAACAGTATTTAATGGAGGCCCGCAGAGTGGGTAATAAATGTTGCTGAGGACTTAACAAGTGGAGGAGGTGGCATGCAGCCT